AATTGATGACAGAAGTCTTTACACTCCCTGCTGTAAAAAAAAATAACAGATTATACAGTGTAACAAATTATTGTAAAATAAGTAACCTTATAAATAAAATACCATCCAAGTCAAGAAGCATTTTAAGATAGATGCACATACAACACTTCTGTGGCATACATATAACCTGCTTGACCTAAATTTAATTGACTAATGGTCTGAGAACCACAGATGCTTTGTAGTAACTGACAACAAGGCCTACATCCCATTCTAATGTTTAGCCCTCTTTCTCCTTTTAGCCATCTTCTTCCCTCATCTTTTATGTGGATCCTATTAGAGTTGGCATTTATTTTAGTTTTCAGGATTCTTAGGTCAGATCTTTGCTACAGGTAGGAAGTCTGATGACTAGCAGTGATTAGACTAAAATCTAAATCAACTATACATCAACTTTGGACTCGTATTTTTATACATACTTTTAGTATGCCTGTGTTTTGACTTCAACCTTTCACATGAAGTCAGGGGTAGAATTTTATATGTATGGTGTTATGTCAGTGCTTAGAAATCTTGAAGCATTTTGGATTTTCAATTTAGGGATGCTCAACTTGTACTAATATTTCCTGAATCATTTCCTTCCTTCCTTTTTAAATTTTTTTTTTGGCAGTGCCTCGTGTATACTACGCAAGCTCTCTACCACTGAGCTACATCCCTAGTCCCTCATTTCTTTTAAGAGAAATACTTACGTTCATAATATAGGTAAAATTGCATCATGCATCGATGTCATTTCCCAGTGGAAACTGAATACAAAATAACAGCTGATCAAGGTATAACTAGTCATTGTCACTGGCTCTGTGTTTATTTAAAGGAGAAAAGATACTTTTGGTATCCTTACACTTGATTTTTCTCTGGGTTTCAATAGCAAAATGTAGTTGTCTCATTATGATAGAATAGTACAACTTAGAATATGGATTCTTGTAAGTTTCATTATAATACATGAGACAAGTTATATGGTCCTTCTCATGGAAAATCTGGTGTGCACCACACCCCAAACCAAAAAGTGAAGAGCAAGTCTTCATGTGAAACCAGATTTATGAGAATTTGGGGATCCAGTTTTGTCCCTCCAGTACAAGAACCATGTACTAGAAATGGAGTTCAGGGACTTTTAACTGAGCTGAGAGATTCAGATATTTTTAGGGGCCAGATAGATTCTGCATGTAACACCTCCACCTCCCCCCTCCCCCACTGCAGCTCCTATAACTCTGGGGATCAAACCAGGGCCTTGTGTATGCTAGGCAAGTGCTTGCTAACTCCAGCCTTGATGTAACTTCTTGAAGTAGTGGATATAAAATAATGGGCTCCAAGCTCTATGTATTCAAAAGAAAGTCTTTGATTTTTTTTTTTCTTGCAAGGGGTAGGGGGAATCGGGGATTGAACCCAGGGGCACTCATCCACTAAGCCACATCCCAGACCTATTTTGTATTCTATTTAGAGACAGGTTCTCACTGAGTTGCCCAGCCTCTTGCTTTTGCTGAGGTTAGCTTTGAACTGGCCATCCTCCTGTCTTAGCCTCCTGAGCTGCTGGGATTACAGGTATGTGCCACTGTACCCAGCTTATGATTTTTTATAGTAGTGTTTCCTTTTAAAGAACAGTATGGGCCAACAAAAAAAGTCTCTGCAGGAAACTTTCCAGTGGGTAACATTTGATCTATAATGGATTATAACTAGATGACTCCCTTCCTGGATCTGAATATGACTTGTCCACTACCTGGGGCAGTTTTGTGTCTCTAACTTCAAATCACACTTCTCAACCAGTGTTTTAGGGAGAAATTCTCTTAATACTGTCCAATATTTATAGTATTTACTTTGTGCCAGGCATTATTCTAAGCATTTTATGTATTAACTTAATCACCATAATAACCATGTAAAGAGGTTATTTTACTGAGACGATAATTATTTTACTTAGACGATAACTGAGGCCCAGAGAGGTGAAGGAACTTGCACAAGGTCACAGAGCTAATATTGATAGGTCTATTATGACAAGCAGAGAGTCTAATCCAGGCAGTCTGGCTCCAGAGTTCTTGCTCTTAATCATGACCTTGAGTTGAATGAAAAGAAGTGTATTGGTGATAAGAAAGATTGACATCTATATAGCCTGAACTCATCCAGCTCCCTGTCTCAACTCTTATCTAATATTGCTTTTGACAATAACTCTTGGTGTTTTGTTTTGTTTTATTGTTTTGATACTGGGGGTTGAACCCACAGGTGCTCTCCCAATGAGCTGCATCCCCTATCCTTTTTTATTTTGAGACAGGATCTCACTAAGTTGCCAAGGCTGGCCTCACACTCGTGATCTTCCTACCTCAGCCTCTTGAGGCAAGTGTGCATCACCATGCCCAGCACCCGTGGTTTTTTAAAAAATGACATTCTTAGTGTATAGTAAAGTCTGAAGGGAGAGACATTTAAATGCCAAACTAACACCATTTAAAAACTGGTGGATAGGGCTGGGGA